CATTGGCAAAGTTTCTAACTTTCATCCTCAAAAACAAATGCAGTTATTTTGAAGAAAAAAAAAGACTTATTTAGATTTCAATTTTTTGCTGCGATACTCTACCCTCCTCTGAACTCTCCAGTTATGCTTCATATTTTGTGACCTTTGTTTGCAAGTGAAATGCAATTTTTTCATCTAAAAGAACAACTCTGTATCTCTAAGCAGGAGCCTGGTCTCTTTTTCTGCTGTTACTTCTGGTTCAGATAAAAAGCCCTTAAAATGAAGGAAAGTCTGAGCTGTGGTCCATGTGTGGTTCTTGAAGTTCTGGCTTCAGCTGCCGTCCACACTGTTTAACTTTCTTCCAAACGCTTTGCTTTGTTTTATAATCCACTAAACTTATCTCTCCTGTTTTGTTTGTGCTCATTTTCTTATCATACTTATTCCTTCTCAACATAATGTGCTTTGATGCAGTCCTCTGTAAAGAGTCGCCTCCTTAAAAATGACCTTTAACTGTCTGACTTTCTTCTGGATGGTGTCGTTGAATATCTGTTGAATCAGCAGCCGTCCCTGTGAATGGCTGCTTTTTGGGGGGCTTAATGTAAAATTATAGTCTGGAATGCAGTTGATGAATGTTGCATACAATACCTCCTAGCTGAACACAGATTAAAACTGATATTATTAGATTAGATTAGATTAGATGAGCTTTATTGATCTCACAGCGGAGAAATTCACTCGTCACATATTGGCATAGTAATTAACGAAGAGGGTGCAAACAAGGAGGAAAAAGGTGCATTAAGAATAAACAATTTATATACAGTATATCAAGGTAAGACACCAAATAACACTATAAAAAATAGAAAGAAGGAAAAGAAAAGTAGGAGCCGATGTGACCGGCTGCTGCCTGTGCAGCGCCATCTTGGCGTATATTTATGCACATGATATAAGATAATAGAGATGTAATCCTTATTTTGAATGTAAATCATCTTATTCTATTAACTTATTGTGTTACTTACCTGCTAATAACATCGGAAAACACGCTTACTTCAAGAAAAATTGGCTTGCTTATATGTCTTTTTTTAGAGTGCATCAGTTTTTCATGATAAATGCTAAACATTCATGCTTCAGAGATGAAGTTTCAGATGTTTCATGGCTTTAAAACCAGTGTTACCTCGCTGTGCCGTGAGCTGGTGACACGTTTTAATCTCTGCTCACTGATGCTCTGTTACACTGCAAAAACCTATCTAGAAATAAATACAAAATTTCTTAAAATAAGTGCATTTACCCTTAATTTTAGTAGGTAAATAAGACGATTTGCCAATGGAATGAGTATTTCTACTCTTAAAATAAGAGAATTAGATCATATTCACTTGAAATAAGACAAAGCAATTGTTTTTTTCTTATTTTAAATGTAAATTGTCTTGTTCCATACGCAAGGTGTCTCACTTATCTCCTCAATTCAAGACAAAATTCACTCAATTTAAGCAAAAATAACTCATACAGATTTCCATTTTTTGCAGTGTAAACAACTTAACCTAAAATGTTGGCAGTCAAAGAATCCGATTAACGTAGCCATTAACGTATTTACTTCTGAAAATTAAAAAAGCAGAAATTCAGCATAAATTTTTTTTTAACTCTTCCTGTTAAATTAATTTTTCTCTCATTTATATTTATAAAGGGGTAAATAATCCAAAAATGTAATTAGAATTAAAAGTTTTTTGGGGATTGCAATATAAATGTTAAAAGATTGATATTAAATTAAAGGTAATTTCTGACTGATCATGTAATTAGACTGCAGAACAAATAGGTTTGGATTAAAAACAATTATACAGTTTTAGAGCGTCTGACAGTGCAGTAGATCACAATGTTAGAGATTTATACATATAAAATAAACAATGATCTTATTTATTCACTCTTTCTTTTTCTGGGTGATGAAATATTTATATCACAATTTCCAATCTTCAGTAATGTTATATTTTTCTGTAGGATGGATGTTTGTTGCTAAAGCTCCTCAGTCACAGTGATGTAGTTCATTACATACAACAAATGAATGCAGCAAATGTAAAATAATTGTACAAAATCAATCCTATAAATATAAACAGCAGCATTATGTTTCATTAGACTCCTGCGGTTCTGAAGTTTAGCTTATTAATCTCTGAAATGTTGGCAATAAAATGAATTAATTTGACTTGTTTTGTTGAAATCATACATATATACTAATGTAAGGCTGCATTTAGACTTCCCTCTAAAAACAGAACATGTACAGCTCATGAATTATGCTAATCTAGCACCTTAAAGGCATCCATTACTAAATGAACATTTGTTGTAAAACCCTGAATTGTCATCATGAACCTATGTTAGACTTTTGCAGCTGCTCATATAAAAGAGCATTTCTTTACTCTTAGACAAAGACAAAGATGTTTAATTCCAATGAGTGGTTCCCAAGAAAGAAACCTCTCCTCTCTGAAAAATAACAATAGAGCCAGACTAAGGTTTGTTAGAGAGAATAAAAAAAACTAGAACCAGGACTTCTGGAATAACGTTTTCTGTAGAGATGAGCCTTAAACTGAAATATCTAAACAACCAGAAAATGAGATAAGTTTGACATAAACCAAATGCATAATTCTTAAAAAGATTCTTTGGTAATTCTAAAGCACGGAGGAGGAGGTGTCATGTTTTCAGGATGGAGTTAAAAATCAGGTATTGGTAAATGAACATTTATTAATCACTGCAGGTATGTTGTAGTGCTTCTAGTAATCATAGAAAATCTTGTAAAAGTGGCATCAGTAAAAATGGACATTCATCCAAAAACGAGACATAAACGAGTCAGGAAGGCAACTAAAATCCCAGCAGCAACAATGATTAACCTGAAGGATTTTCTTCATATAGAGGGGGAATACAATCTGTTGTTTTTCATGTACCCTCCTCCAAATATTCGTTGCTTAAAAGGCAACAAATATGTTGTACAGCTCTAAAATGGGTTGAAAATCCTGTTAACTCTCAGAGACATAGGGCCGGATTTATCAAGATCCAATTTTGCGTGCAGTAATTTGCGCTCGCAAACTGGAATTT